AAAATTCCAAAATTTGACGTTCATGTTCACTTACACAAAGATTACCAATGAAAAAATCATTTGTCGGGGGCAAAGCGTAAACCAATCGGTTTAAAAATTACTGCAAGGGTTGGGATAAGCCATGTACTTGACGTTCACTTAGAATTTGCAGAGACAACTAAATGCGATTTGACCCGCACGCAGCGCAAAGACTGACCCCTCGAAGGCTAGCCATTGGTTCAACTCAGTGTTTTTTCCTTCTAGATAGGAGTTGAGCTTGGATGACCTGGAAACCAGATCCGTGTCCCGTGGTAAGAGGCGCCGATTGCCTTCACATCAGCTCCGCCCACACGTTTTGAAATATTTATATGGCTCTAGGTTCTTATTGTTTGTTCACAGTGTTCACAACTTCTTGTTAGCACCAAATACCTATGGAAAACTACGTGACTGGTGACTGGTTGACAAAGCTTACATCAAAGTTGAATTTCACGATGAGGGGCAGCCCATTGAAAATTAAGTTAGAGATGGTCAGTGATGCAGAAAGAAGAAAAAACGAGAAAAAATGGCCTAGAACCCGAGAAATGGGACCCTTCCTTGCCCGTTGATTTGCGCATTGATGCGACTCTCATCGGTGCTGCCCTCTTCAACGCTAACGCTCTCTCTGCTAAACGGCTAGAGATCAGACACGAGGCGAAGTAGAAGGGCGTACCGCGCCAGAAGCGCCGCGCGGAAGGCCATGCTAGATCGCCTGGGGCATATCGTTCGATGAGAAACTGCGTGTCGATCCGCATCCTCGGGAGATCCGCCTGTCTCTCCACTCGGTAGGTTCCGCATCCTTCGACCTTCGTTCTTATCGTAGCTCCTTTAGGCTTACGTGAACAGTTTATAAGTCAGTTACTTCTAGCAGGATATGCCACGATAGCCCTAACGATAGATTTATGAATATCTGGTTTGTTGAGTGAAAATAGCCCCAGAACGCATTGGATGAACGCACATAAGGCTCAGAATTGTGAAGAAGTGGCACGTTATCCATGTAAAGTCTCTCCCGGTTCTAAACTTGAACTGTATATTGTGAAATCATTCATGCAGAAATCATCAACATTAGAATGCCAAAAGGCATGGGTCGAGGCGAATTGGAAAAAATGGAAGAAGTGTAAAGGTCAACGTTACTGAAAAACAGAAACAAAAACAAAAAGCACCATAACATGCACTGAATTTTTGCTGTGAGGCCGGGCGTGGTAGGTCAGAGAGGCATAGCGCTGCGAGGAGAGGGAAAACGCCAGAACACCGCAGCAAGGGTCGGTCTATCGTTGGTACATCAATTCCTGAAAAAATTTTTACGACCCCCTCCCAAGGTGGAGTGATACGACCCTTTCGCACCGCGACACAATCGTACTCATAGAGCTACATCTCCATCTCACCAAACCCGCCCACTTTTTCCTCCAGAAAATGCCGTCGAGCGGGGGGGGGGGAGGGGGTATATAGTCACTCTGAAACGGTAAATATCTCCGAAAATTTTCTTCTATTCCACCATTTCAACCCATTTTTTACCTATACTCCCACTACTTCCTTTTCTAGGGGGTATATACGCCCGCTGAAACGGCAAATTTTTATCCTGCGCGCCCTCCACTCGCCCAGCCTACTACCCACGAAATCTTAGTTTCACCTCAATCCCACACGTGATTTCGAGCGACTAAAGTGGGTACGACCCCCCCCCTCCAAGCTAAACCAAGTACGACCCCCCCCGTTGGTACTTGTACCAACGTAGGGTTGACCCTGCGCGCGAATAGAGGCCATGTATACTGCGATGGACGAGAGTGTCAGCGGTCGCACCGGTAAGGCGGAGCACTAGCTTTCTTTTCGCACACTTTCAATCGCTACAATACCATCATCCCTATTATGAGGGGTCCTGCTAGCTCACTCAATGAGAGAATTTTTGTGAGGATCTAATCGTGACCCGTGCCTCAAAAGGTGCGATTGTGGAGGGAAATTTCTAATAACTAGGATAACGCTGCTTTGTTCCAATTATAACCATTTACAGGAGGCCATAGCTGATGAAGTGACTCGATCTGGCCGGTCAGTTGACAAGGTCCGAGCTGATGCCGAAGCCACGGTGAGAATGATGGCTCACAACTGGGGACTCATTAGTACCCGAACTTTTGGCTATGCTGTCACAAAAGTGTTGGAGGTAAATTTCTAAGGATTTCCCCATACTTCATGATATGATATCTTCCATTTCAGCGAATATTCGACTCCATTTACGTGAATGCCGATCAACTGAAGAAGGTCCGGGAGCTGTGTAAAACCGATGCAGTGGTGTTCATGCCATCTCACAGGACCTATCTCGACTTTCTTCTCCTTTCTCTCTTCTGTTTTGAATATGTGCGTTCCTCCATTGACGAGAGCCTTGCCCACACTGAAAGTCACCTCTTCAGGAAGTTCCACTCCCTGCAATCGCCGCCGGCATGGATTTCACGAACTCCTGGTTCATGAGCGAGGTCCTACGACGATGTGGGGCATTCTATATTCGAAGGTCAATTGGCCAGGTACGAATACAAGCATTCCAACCTCACAAAACTTCGAGAACGCCTTACGCTGGTCAGGGGGATCATGCATACTCAGGGCTACGTCTCTGGGAAGCTATCCTCAACTTAGATTCATTCACTTACCCGCAAAGTTCTCTTCAGATATTATGTGGCAGTCGTCGGTGGTGACGTCATATTCCGAAGACCATGAGGGCAATGAATGAGAACATGCATCTCTTTATGGGGACACCTATTGAATATCTTGCCGTAAAACTTCCAACGCGGCACCCTGCATGAGGTGAAAAGTTTGGTGATGTGCGGCAAGGGTGAAATGGCATTTTCTGCACCCCCTCCACACCCACTCCCCACCAGGGTCAACCCTACGTTGTTACTAGTAACAACGGGGTTTCAGTGAGGTGTAGGAGGAGGGGTCGTACCGACTTTATCGCGTGAATACATTGTGACGTTTGTGGTGCTCAAGAAGGAGTTTTCAAACGCGTCGGCTTAGGTGATTGGCTACGTGAGTGGACGGAGCCCCCCGCACGCCCTAGAAAATGGAGAGTGGGATATAGGTAAAATGGGAGAATAGGGTAATTTGATTAAATTAGGAAGGAATTTGGTATATTTTACCTGTTCATAGTTGCTAAATACCGCCCTTCCCCTATCCTGCGTCCGCCCGCTCCGCGTGCATGTGGAGAAAATGTGGCGGAGTTTGCGCGCTTGAGGTACCAGCGTTAAATACATAGAGAGGAATAGGTGTCGAGGCGAAAAGGGGCGCCGGACCAAAGTCCACCTTGGGAGGGGTCTCAACAGTTTCGGAAAACTAACACCGAAAGACTGACCCTCGCGCTCCCACCCTCTGGCGTAGGCCTGAGCTTGTGCGGGATCTGTTGTCACTTCATCTTCACGATAACAAGATCACGAGAGGCAGTCAATTCCCCGCATGAACATTAGGTGGAGATTTCGGAGCCCCGGCGGGTAAAACGGGGAATAATCATGCATCAAAATGCTAAGTCTGGCCAAGTCCAAAAACTACTCGCTAAGGCAACTGCAGAGACTAGAAAAGATGAATCATGGTGAGCTACATATTGGTGAGTGAGATGAAGTGGGCGAGCACTTCCTGAATGGGTGGTGCTGATATGCTGGTACAGAAATTCATCCTCCTGTTCAAAGTGGCCAACCAAGCCTTGCACACCCATGTGGAACCAAGCGCGTGGTCATCAACACCAGCGAAGCAGACCATGCTGAAGTGCCTCCAATTAGTTAATATAGTACTGTCGACAATACTTTACACTGTTCATCTTACATGTATTACAGGATCATTTGTACTGGGCAATTCTTTCCGAATATGTGCAGACTCATCTGGTTTGCGGCGACCGACCAGTAGAATTCTTTGTCGAAGGTACGAGGAGTCGCGTGGGCAAGAGCCTTCATCCCAAATATGGCCCTCCTTCAGATGGTTCTCGAGCCGTTTTTCTCAGAGGAAAGTATTCGATATAGTGAGTATCTTTCTCCGAATCTCTCCGCGAATAACCAGGTGTCGATCACGTTTCTCGGTTTCAGTTAGTAGTTCCGGTTACAACAAATTATGATAAATTATTGGAGGAAATGCTGTACTCCTATGAATTACTTGGATTCCCGAAACCGAAAGAGAGTACTTCAGGTGGGTCCTCCAAGTCAACACTTACATTGGTTTCTGAAGTTATAAAGATTATAGAAGAATTGTGAGTAAAAAATCCGTGGCCGGCGCTCATGTCGTCAAGAGGAAGGAATTCTGAAGGAGGATGTTTGTTCTCCTTAGCGTTTTTTCCTTTCCTGGGCTTATTCCTACAGTCACCTAACCAACAGTTTTTGAATGAACTGTTTGGGATGTCCCCCCTAAGGTCATGAGCGCTCCTAGACTGAAACTCTACAGAGCTGTTGCCGTAAATCAGATGGGATTGCTTATATCCTGAAATAGTTGCCCAGTACAAATGGACATTAGCCGTTGAGGCAGCCCGGTACTACAGTGCAGGAGGAGCACCCTGCGAGCACATTTCTCGATTACCTCGTAGGATCAGCCAAACTTTGAAGAGAGGCGATATTTCGTCATTTTGGCGGAAGAGTCTTGAAAACAAGGCGTTGTTCCATAGAGAGCTGGCAGTTGTGCCAAGCGGTAACCCAGCCTTTGTCCACACCTATCTCGCCCATATTTTCTGTCATCCCCTCACTATCAAAGACCTCCTCCCGTACACTGTTGCTGTAGGTTCGTACTATGTTCGAACCAACTATATGCGGGGTCTTATCCATGGTTCCCGAACAATTCTTTCGCTGATTTCATTGTCATCGGGTCACGAACCGGAGGCAATTTTATGGGATTCAGAAGTTTTTATAGAAGTTCTGGAACGGTCCAGTATTTTCTTCTTTTGACTGAATTGTATGCTACTTCCCCTTCTCCAGCTTAATAGACTTTTTTTTGGAAAGCTAAGCATAATAAAGGTTGGAATCACTAAAAAAGGGCACACTACCCCAGTCAAGAATGGGAGAGTGCGCGGTCGTACTGGAGTTGCTAAGTCTTCTCCACGCGTGCTCACTTTGCCCTCTCTATTTCCGTGGAAAGTGGGGTGTCCCCCAAGAGGCCCATCGCGCGGCGAAGGAAGAGACGCAGATGCGGCAAAGGACGAGTCGCAGCGCGTGCTGTGCGATATGAGACGTAGTATGGTACACTCTATTTAACCTGACGCCTAATACAGTATGCGCTGCGACTCGTCCTTTGCCGCGTCTGCGTCTCTTCCTTCGCCGCGCGGTGGGCCTCTTGGGGGACACTCTGAAAAGTGCTTTTCATTAACTTGAGGAAAGGTATCCACCGCTCGCCACGTAGTCACGTCAACATCGATGGAAGTAATGCAAATATAATAGGTGAAGCAATTTATGGGGGATTGCCCAGAATGAGAGGATAAAAATAACTACTAGTGCAGTTAGCCGTGGATGGCGCACGTGAGCACATTGTAAAACATGGGCTTCGTAGTGCACTTGAAAGACGCTTTTATGTTCTAGATGATGAAGAACCCTTTTCCACTGAGCTATTATCCTCGATGAATTTCAGGTCTTCTCAAGGCTCGCGATTTTCTAAACAAGCGATTTGGAAGGTGTTTCATGACATTTGGCGAGCCGATATCTGTTCGCAACTATTTCGGAAATTCGTTACAACGATCTCAGGTCATATCCCAGGCACGTTTTTGGTCCACAGTTTGTTAGTGCGATAGCTCATCTATTTGGTGAAGAGGTAATTCAGAGTTGTGATCTCATAATATTTCAGCCGGACTCACAGTTTATCCTGTCCGATGAACAGCGGAAGCAGATCAAAAAATTTGCCCATGTTGTCGTTAAAGCGCTCGATCGGAACGCAGTCATCACCATATGGTCAATAACGTGTGCTGCCATAGCTCAGGTACTTTTGATGACCACCCTCAGTTCAAGAAGATAGTGAACAACATTATGGAAAAGAGAAAAATTTTCCGCCTTTTTTCCGCGGTACATCTCCCAATTGTATGATTGCCACGAGACCAGTCCCAGCCGCGAATGGTGTTTGGTCTGCAACAGCAGGAACTAAAACGTCTGAACATGGTGCCGGCTTTGGACTTGGATCACCGCACGTTTCATGAATCAGTGATCCTCACCTGTTACGGCATCTGTGTCTCGCTCTCCGCTAGGACGATGCCAGACTTTGTGAATCCAACGATTCGCTAGCGCGCGGGATGTGAGCTGTGTACCACCGGATCGAACAAAATACATATGTGCCAGCGAATCAACACTGCTTGAAATGGCGCGTCTCCTATCATTTGCGTGTGCATGGACTCGTCACGCGCAACTTCTCCCGACTCAATACCCTCTCACTCTTCCGATGCCCTCGCTGACCCGGGTAAGTGGCGACGCAGCCACACGTTCAAGGCAAGTCTCACCATTTTCAAAACCATGTCGACTCGCCTGCGTGTAGATCATTAGACTCCGCTGGTATCTCTCGTGGATCCCTGCACTCACGAACTCAGCTTCGGTCGCCACTGTTACACAACTCCATTCGCTGGTGCAATGCTCGTATCCTACGATTCGCTAGCGGCTCGCTAGCGAATCGCTGGATTCGCCAAGTCTGACATCCCGTTTATCCGCTCTCCTCTCGCCGCGTTGCGGCACCTCGTGTTCTCTAGCCCAAGAAAGTCCATTAGAACGTGGAGGCTTTTAACAAAGCGGCTGTTTTGTCACATGTCATAGAGGCAGCATGTGTGGAAGCACGAAACGTATCCTGTTTTGAGCAGGTCACTGGAGCCGCAGAAAGGCGGCGAAAAAGTTTCTTTTTTAGGAAGTGGAATCTTTCAACCATATTTCATATTATTCTGCAGGGCATTTGCAGTATATCGAATGGTTCCTATGATTGCTCATTGCCACCGTGACTTGAATCCCAGACATGTGTACGAAGTGCAAAGAAGATGGCGAAATCTAGAGCAAATGATAATAGAACATTTTCTCTCGACTTGGGTTCACAGAAAAGCCACTGTTTTGTCTTCAGGCCACAATGTGTGTTCGTTTCTCGCGGCATTCCAGGGACCTCAGAAAATAAATGATTCTCCACAGTTCATAGTGCCACTCGAGCGCTGCGCACCCCGAGTGCCCACAGCATAGCTAAGAGACGCTTATCGAAAAAGCGCTCCATGTTTTGGAGAATGTCTCTTTTGTGGTTTTTCAAACTTCCATCGCCCGAAAAAATGATTTCGAGACGGTTTCTTGTTTTTTTTCCAGTCGGGAAATTCTTTTTCAATTCACAAAATTGATCGGCACCCCTATTATTCATGCTTGGATTTTGAGACCGCCTTTCTGCTATCGCGGAGTGAGCGTTGAAGTTCCAAGTTTGGATAGGCGATATGCAGGGTGGCCACAAATTATGGTAAAAAATAACGTGATCACGGAAAATCCACACAACTAATGAAAACAATCGGGGAATACCAATTTATACCCAGTGAGGTTTAATAAACAAGAGCAACGCCATCTCTTCTGACATGGACGTTTTCAATTGCAAAGGCAAAAAGCCGGAAAAAGTGGTCAGCCAATCAACTTAGCGCGCGTGTGTAGTGGTAAGCAGGAAATTTCCATTATGACATCCTACGGAATCCGGCTTTGGCGCTATGAGCCTTTTATCCGTGCCACAGGCTTTCTGCATGTTTTGTGGCCATAACAGTGCCGGAATTATTCCGAATAAATTTTATCATGCGACGGCTGCTCTTGTTACCGTAAATTGTGACGAACCTGTACGTTGTGCATTTTCACCACTCCGACTTCTTTGGTGAGCAGGCATCTTACAGCGGTTCTTCCAGTCAATAGATTTTTCAGTCCATGAATGACTTCATTTCAACAACAGCTTTTTGTGTAGAACCTAAGAACTGTGTTGACCACAAGATTTATGATCGACTATTTCTCAAACCTCGTGGTTTTATTCGAATTCATACAAATTGTGCTCGTAAGCAGTTAGATTTGACATTGAAGGGAATAGTGTAACTTTTGTCTGCTCACGAAGGCAGGCCAAAAAATGAAATGGAACTGGTTGATGTACGATCCTCGCTCATTGGTTAGTTCATGGTTCGATCGAGAAACCAGTTCGACTTCTTTGATTAGCCATTCTGTTACGGTCGAAGTCTCTTACTTATTGAAACTAATAACACACAAGGGTTGGAATAGCGGGGGAACTATAGCGGGTTTCATATTTATAGGGCCACGCTCAAAATTTGCATTCTTATTGCATCATTAGCAGAGTCCTCTTAACGAATGTCCCCTGCATCCCCATTTTCAGATCATTTTCTTTCGTTCTTTCCTGATAACTCGTTACCGACTTTCTTTTAAATAAGAGGGAATTCTGACAGACTGAATTGAAATTGAATCAGGTTAATGGCAGACATAATTGTCGATTACCGACTGCTCTTATTTTAAAGGCATGCCCCAGGATCACATGGTGTGGCTCTTGCACACGAATGCGAATGTATTGGTGCGAAATGGGCCGGCAGTAAAGAAAAAAGGAAAAGAATCCGTCGAAAACGCTTAGGTTAAGGGCTCACTCACCTTCCTAATCGGCTGTGCTAAGGGAATGAGAGACTAAGCGCGGAGAGGAGAGTATGAGGCGAGAGAGCGCTACAGATGAGAGAGCGCCAGACAACAGCCTGATAAGAGAAAAAAATCTGCAGCTTCAGCAGCTTACTTTGCAAGGCCCAAGCGCTCTTGTCGGTTGGTTTCCGTGCACGGGAACGCCACATTTGTGATTGTCCTCTAGGGTTCTATACTACAGACCGAAGGGAAGCGTTCACACGACTCTGCCTGGTTGTGCCTTTAAAGGCACAACCCAGGCAGAAGCCGTGTGAACGATTCCCTTCGGTCTGTAGTATAGACCCCTAGAGGACAATCACAAATGTGGCGTTCCGTGCACGGAAACCAACCGACAAGAGCGCTTGGGCCTTGCAAAGTAAGCTGCCAAGCTGCAATTTTTTCTTTTATCAGGCTGTTGTCTGGCGCCTCTCATCTGTTGCGCTCTCTCGCCTCATACTCTCCTCTCCGCGCTTAGTCTCTCATTCCCTTAGCACAGCCGATTAGAAGGTGAGTAAGCCCTTAACCCGAGCGTTTTTGACGGATTCTTTGTCGACGTAATCAAAGCTTCCACGAACTTTAACTACATAGTGCCGAAACCAACCATATCTAATGATCTTGCAACTTTTCTGCAGATACGATACACAGCTTCATCGTGATTCACTTTGAACTACAACTCTCTCCCCATACACACTTTGTTACAGTTTTCATGGCACAAAATATTTCTGCAGCGCAAAGGCGTACTTTCCTTAATTTATGCGGTAGTTTCATTGTTTATAAGATTTCTCACATGCTGACTCATCTCTACTTGAAAGAGTGATGCGGCTATGGGCAAAAC